GGAGCTCCCCAAAGATCAGACAGACGTGCTGATAGTGAATTGTGATTTTATACTTCATAGTTGAGTAGTTCCCCAGTGAGGAGGCAGCGCATGTAGAGTTACATATGGTTCTACGTGTAATTCCTTCAAATCACCGAATGCAGGAGCCTTCACTGTTGTAATAATTTTTTAATGTACCTTATGCCATCCTTCTAGAATTTTGCATTCTCTCTGATGCCTGAACATTTTTAAAGTGAAACATTATTCTCTAGAATTTCCTAGTGTTTATTCACTTTATTGGGAGAGTGCAACATAGTCCAGAACTTAATCCTGTGGCACTTGAGGCAGTTTTGGTTTTGCACCTCGCATCCAAGCGCCAGCAGTGCAATGCTCCACATGTCCTTAAAAGCCCCCATCGTGGCTGCCGGGTTTCCCTCCAGGGCAACTATTTCACTAGAAAATCCAGTTCTATTGATATTATTTAATGGTTAATCATATTTGCTCAGATTGGTGTTCTGTGCTGTTGACTGATACTTGTTTCTGGCATAAGATAAAATTGAAATGGAGAAAAATCCGCATTCCACTTTGTTCCTTTCTTATAAATGCAGTAGAAGTCTTTATACCACTTTCATTTGCCCTTGAAACTGAGTGAATAAGGGTTATAAAGTGCTTTCTAAACAATAAGGTATCCTTTTTATGCCATTTTTGGTCTTAAGAAATAAACGTACTAGAAGGAGCACTTTTAGCAGCATCATCATTCTTGGGTTTTAATTCTGACTCTAGAGCTAATTTAGTCGTGTGGCCTGGGGCAGATGACTTCACGTCTCTGGTCCTTGGGTGTCTCTGAAATGAGAGGCATGGATTGGGACTTTCTGGTCTTAAATAGCTGAGTGGTGCTTAAGTGGTAAGAACATCAGTTTTACACTATGGGCACGGCACAGGCCTGAGAGTAAGTATACCACATCCCATCCCTAAGAACACGAAGGTTATTTTTATTTTTTGGTGAGACCTTGCAGTAGACAACTGCTGTTTTCTTTCTGTTTCATTTCGTTTTCTTCATCTTTGTGTGTGTATTTCCTTTCCTTATATATAAGCATACAGTTTGTCCTGTGCTTCATTATGTTCTTTGTCATTGTTCCCATTTCACTTTCCTCGTGTTTCATTCCTATATCTTTCTTGTTTAGAGCAAGTGGAGCACGCAGCTGGCAGTAGCCTCTGTGTAGGACCCTTCAGGAACCTGATGGTAAGTGCACACGTGTACTTACCAGGCTCCCAGTGGGCTCTGCCACACCAGCTCTCACAGGAGAAACCAGCTAGTCCCCTCTCCGCTTTGTCAGAGTCCTCATCCAGGTTATCTTTGATTATAGGTTTGTTTTTTATTTTAATTTGATTACATAAAGAACAGAAACCAAGTATCAGAAAAAATGTGCTGATTTAAGGAAATGGAGCAGTTTCCATACCTGAATTGCAATATTTGGCTTGGTGAGTGACACCAAGCATACCTTCGTGTGAATCAGGACTCCCAGGTTCTAATTTCTGTTCTGTCAGAGACTGAGGAGTCTCTTTGGGGGCCCTGGCGTTTGGTTTCTCTTGCAAAAAACAGGTAGGCCAGGGGATTTCAGTAGCTCCTTCACCCTAGTCCAGGGGTGGGCAAACTTTTTGACTCGAGGGCCACAATGGGTTCTTAAACTGGACCGGAGGGCCGGAACAAAAGCATGAATGGAGTGTTTGTGTGAACTAATATAAATTCAAAGTAAACATCATTACATAAAAGGGTACGGTCTTTTTTTTTTAGTTTTATTCATTTCAAACGGGCCGGATCCGGCCGCGGGCCGTAGTTTGCCCACGGCTGCCCTAGTCTGTGGTCCTGATGGGAAGTAGCTCGAGTGTTAGATGTTCCGATGAACATTTCCTGTACCAAATAATCTCAGGTCCATGAAAGAAGGATCATTAGATTTATGATAGTTGCATGTCTGTCATAAACTAAGTCTATCTTTGTTTACTGAAAGGAACGTGGGAGGTAAATTTAATTGTTCCATTCCTTTTTTAGAATTGGGTTTATTAGTGTTATTCAAATATTTCCTTTAAATTTTATAATAAATGTATAAACTGCAGAACCTCGCCTATCTTTAGTAACCCATATTATATTGGTTTAGCCCAGTGGTTCTTAACCTGGGGAACAAACCCCCCCCCCCCCCCCCTTCAGGGACATTTGGCCAAGTCTGGAGACTTTTGGTTGTCACACTAGAAGGTGACACTGGCATCTAGTGAGTGGGAGTCAGTGATGCTGCTGAATGTCCTCCGATGCCTTGGACAGCCCCACAACAGCGCGCGATCTGGCCAAGTGTCACTTGAGCTACAGTTGAACCCCTGCTATCCAGCCTCCAGTGGCCTGTGGTGGGATGCTCTTGGGAGCCCTCTGAATAGGATGCAGATGTTCCTGCTGAAAGTGGCTTCTCTTCACAGGGCATCAGGGTTTCCTGGTTATGGGTTTGAAAGAGGGCACCTGGGGGCAGGAGGGATATTTCTCACTGGTTAGGTTTGGAGAGTCCAAAAATAGACATTTGACATTCAGTATCAGCTAGGTGTTCTCATACTTCCTTAGGCAGAGAATAAAACTTCAAATAATATTTTTAGCTTTTAGATAGTTATGTGATCTTGTTCTGAGTACATATTAATGAATGGTATTATTAAAGTTGTACTTTGCTTTATTATAACATAAATCTAGAAATCTCACTTAGTACTTTGTTCACATAGGGCAATTTACTCTTTTATATAGCCTGCTAACTAGCCTCTATAGTGCTTGAGAAGTTGCAGAAAATCTTTGAATTGCTTTTGCAAGGGACTGTAGTACAATAAATTAATGTCTGTATTTCTATTAAATTTTACAGTGTGAGTAAGGTTAGGCATAAGAGGGAAGCTTTAGACCATACCTCTGTACTTATGTATTTTGAAAGCTCATACCTGTAGAAAGTAGTAGCAAGTAAGAATTCAGTAAGAAAGGTCAGATTTCTTGGCCTGTTTGGAGTACATGAGGTGGTACTGATATCTTACAACAAATTTGTGGTTTTGATCCAGGGAAAATTTTTCTGAATATAACTTTTGAATGTAATGTCTGAGGGCAGCAGGAGTCCTGACGTGAGTCTTTATGAGGCATGACCTGCAGAACTGGAGCAGTTCCTGTTAGTAGCCAGTCACTGGTATTTGCATTGTTTGCTACCAGTAATCTGAGATGGACTGGGCATATGTCATCGTGAGGATAAGAAAACTGGTTGAAAGGTTAGAATCCAAACCCCCTAAAGCACAACTGGATTCCTCAGGAGCCTTTGTCATTATCAGATTTACGCCAGTGCTGTTGACTGAGGGAGAAAGACTTGAAAGAGGAGGTGACTTGTGGCCATGTCACATGTTTTCATGGCCTTGCCCCTTGCAGAGGGCATGGGTTTATAATCCTCCCACCCGGAGACGTAAATCTACCTGCTCCATGAAGAGTCTGCTTCTGGGCCCACCAGGGCGTGGTTCCAGTGAATTCTGAGTTCCTTTTTAGCTGCCTTTGGAAACGAATGGATTGCCTTGTTTTCAGATATGTGTTTGAGTGAACTCTTTCTTATGCAGTTGCAGAAAACTTCTGTTTTCTTACTGAAGAATTAGGGATTCAAAATGGTATTTTAGAATTTTATTTTTAAGACCAACATTAAATGGCTAATTAAGTATTTTATTCATTTTTTCTTGTTGAATCTCTTAAATTTATTTCTCAAAATCCGGTGATGTTTTTTAGGATTAATATCTGGTGTGTATTGTTTACAAATGTTTCTATTTTTAATCATTATGATCTTTGCAGTGATAATATTTTGTGTCTCTGATCTTAAATTTCATCTGTTACCTACACTTTAATTAATTATGCTGCTCCGTAGTGATTCTCTGTTATGGAGAATACCATTTTCCAGAAACTGCCAATGTTTTCTAGTTTGTCATTTTACTAAATTAGAGATCAAGGCGGCTGTTGGTTGCAAAAGAGAAAGCTCAGGAGGCTATATGAAGCCTGGTTGAGGAGAGCATTGCAGAAAGAGAAGGGAACTGTTTGGGAAAGGTGATAGGACCTGTTCTGAATATGAAAACTGAAAAATAAAAGCTACCAGGCATAAGAAACTTGGAATTTAAAAAATGGCAAAGAGGGGTTGCAAATTCTGGTTAAATCCTAATGAGATCAAACGTCTGAGCCTCCAGTAGTAGTAACCAGTCTAGCATTGTTTATCTTTACTAAGAATCTTGGCGACTTGCGTTCACTGTTCCAGCTTGTCAGAAATGTGCTGCATTTTCCTCTTATCTTCTGAACTGTGGTATCACTTGGAATTCAGTTAATGTTTCCTGAATTCCAGCTTCCAAATCGTTAATGAAATATTGAACTGTTCTGGACCTCGACTTGAGTCCCTCAGGACCCTCAGAGTGCCGTGCCGGCCGGCCACAGTGAATTATTCATAATTACACTGCTTTGCTATTTGAGCCATTGTGCATGTGTATTCCTTACAATTCAGTGGGATCTCTGCTTCTGTTGTTTTATTTTGACAATTATAGGTGCTCATATCTTAACTAAAAGGGCCCCAAGTTATCCCGTGTTGCTTTTCCTACGTGCTTCTTAGGAGAATTTCTGCCAGTCCCTCTTATGTGTATGGTATTAAAACTGAGAGCTATCATCTAATTTTCCTGTGACATCAGTATTGTTAACTTTTCTAGAATATATTATCTATTAGTTTGATAGTTGCTTAGAGTTATGAGGCAACTAGTGCCCAAGATTCTAAAAAATACATGATTTATGGTTTTTTTTCTCTGGTGTGACTTAAAAGTATTTGTATTCATCATCTATTCCTTTCTTTAGGGATTGAAGTGATAGTTGCCCAGAAATAGACAGTTTGTTCTGATTATATTAGTGATTGTCTCCTTCAAGAATTCGGGGTAATAGTGAGTGAATGAATGAATGAACGAACAAATAAATAAATAAATAAATGGTTTATTTGTTTCAGGGAAGAAAAAACCCCAGGAAAATAAAAACAAAGGAAACAAAACTGAAGACATACAGCTGAAGACAAGCGAGCCAGATCCCACCTCTGCCAATATGAGAGATTCTGCAGAAGGTAGGCTGGGGTGTTGGGCTTGTATGATTTGGGTATGTATCACCATTTATAATTTTGTATTTCTTCGGCATGCCTGTCTGAGAGTCATTTAAGAAAAGGTTAAACAGCAAGAAGGTCCCCTACAAGCCCTTCACATTCCCCATCCCCTTCAAAAACGTACTAAAGACCTTCCTTGTTAGAAATCAAATTATGCTTGGTTAAAATAAAATGAAGCATTCTATATGATTGCATTTATAAATAATTTACAAAGTTCAAAACCATCAAAAAACATCTATGATGACAGGAGTCAGACTGACAGGGGCAGACGGGGGGGCAGTCCACTGATGTGTGGGGTGGGCACATTGGTGTATTTACTTGTAAACACTTTATCTTGCTCTATACTTACGTTTTGCATACTTTAAGTATGTTTTGTAGTTCAGTTAAAAAATTACTTAAAATATTAAATACCCTTGATTTTATATATCAGAATGAAAAATGTACAGAGTGAAAAGTGTTCCTTTGTTAGAATTTTAATTCCTATTTTATCTCGTGTTTCTTCCTACTAAATTGTCTATGGTCTCTTCTTTTTTTTTTTTTTTTAATATATTTTATTGATTTTTTACAGAGAAGAAGGGAGAGGGATAGAGAGTTAGAAACATCGATGAGAGAGATCGATCAGCTGCCTCCTGCACGCCCCCCCAGTGGGGATGTGCCCGCAACCAAGATACATGCCCCTGACCGGAATCGAACCCAGGACCCTTCAATCCTCAGGCCAATGCTCTATCCACTGAGCCAAACCGGTTCGGCATATGGTCTCTTCTGAGGACTAATATTCTAGGCCCTCCATGCTGTAAGAATTCAGAGACATGGATTGAAAGTTAATCAGAAAGGCACATTGCTCAGTTGAGCCACCATATTGAGACTATTGCTATTAGAAAAGAGGGAGCTATGTCCTAATTTGTTATGTGGTCAATTTATGCAAAGATCGGAGCTTGCTCAAGAGTTGTTCATAGTGACCCAAATAGGCCAATTTCAAAATGAAGGCTTGTGACTTTCAAGAAACATTTGTAGAGAAAAAAACCCACCAACAATATTTTTTATTCTTTTTAAGCCATTTTGGTGGTGATGACGTTCATAAAGGATTGTAATTTCCTGTGGCATTTTATGAAGCAAGAATGGACAAGTTTATTTCCCAGAACCTTATAAAACTAAGTTCTGCCCGCTGATTTGCTAAGACATTTGTTTGAACAACAAAAATACTAAGGACCCTCCCTACGTTTAGTGGCAGAATTAAAACAAAAATCCAGGAGCCCCTTTCCCCCTTCGAAAATTCAAGACAGTTATTTTTTTCCTGATACAACATCAGGCCCCATGAAAAAAGATAATTAATATTTACCTTTTTGTGGAATAACTGGTTAAAGTGTGATTGGCTCTGTACAGCGTAGTTGTCATTACTGAATGTTCTGCGTATTCTTAAAAAAGTGGTCTGAGCAAGCAGTCCAGACTCTTCCTTTGTTCCCCAAACCTCCCGTTATGTTTAAAACTCAGCGACCACATGGACACACTTTGGTGTGGGCCTTACTAGTGAGCAGAGCTGTGTTTTGGTTTATATTGCTTTGGACAATTTCAAATCTGAAATTGTTTACCAATCACAGAGAGAGAAAATAATACATTTATATATTTTTTTCCATTAAAAGACGCCACAGATTTTGGCCCAAAAAGAACTCCATAAAGAAATTTTTGTGCCTTACAGATGTTATTTTCAATTTCTGTAGTCTCATTCCAACTTTTTTTTAGCAACATGTTGGGTCTGTGTTGAACATGTAGTATTTCAAAAGGGACTTAGCTCCTAATTTGAAATACATTACCACCATCAAATGACTGGTTTCTCAGTTTGTGGAAAACTCATGGAATTTATGAAATTTGTTGGGGGGTAGGGTGGGAAGACTGGTGTCTGTTTAGAAGCAGTAGCCTCGTTGCCAGTAAAATGGTGGCATGTGGGTAAAAGTAAGACGGATACTCCTAGGAAACCTTGCATTTAGAGAGCTTGGCACAGTTGGCCTTTTTAGCCCCCACTTCCCCTGTGTCCAGGCGTTCACCAGGTCTGTGACAGGCTCTTCTATCTTGATAGTCTGGCCACTGTTTTCTGCCTCCACTGCTACATCTCTTAATGTAGGCAGCAGCATCTCCCTTCTAATACCACTGCATCAGTATTGGTTGCCTGCAGTAATGTGTCTTCCCGGTCCCTTAATCCACATCACAGCCAAAATCTCCCATCTGGCATCCTCCCATCTGGCTTTAAAATATCTTAATGGTTCCCCATTGCCCACCTGTAAGTCCAGAATAATTCACAGTGTGCTACATGTTTTGATTCCTCCTGCTGCCTTTCCTTTTCTCTCCTTGACCTTCACGTTCAGACTGCCCAGTACTTTATCTAGGAAGCCTCCCCTGATTAAGCCACATACAGTGTTCCTCTTGTGTGCTTCTGTAGCAGCACGTACTTCCACAGGCGTAACCATTGATTTATGACAGTGGTGTTGCCTGCTTGCTTTCCTGTAGCTCTATAAGGATAAGGATCTTGACAGTGTTGTTCGCCTAGTACTGGCATACAGTAAATACTTGCCCAGCGAAAGGGGGGACGATTCAGTTAACAAGCCAGGAAGTCCCAGAGCTTTTCTAACTCGTGTATATAGTGCAAGGGGCCTAGTTCAACAGACAGGTGGTACTGTGGAGAAGGACACTCTCTGTCAGCAGTAGATGCGCTGTGACAGCTCCTGTCTGGGAGTCCCCTGCTCTCCCTAGGTTTTCTCCCAACCGCTATTCCATTTCTCTGCTTTTCTTTATAGCTAAACTTGAAAGAGTTGCTTATAGTCTCCCTGTCTCTCCCTCCTTACCCTCTTTTAGGAACTCTATTAGGCATTTGTCCCCACTACTCCACTAAAACTGTTACCATGATCACCACACACCCACCTTGGTAAAGGGAATGCTCCATTCTCAGTCCTTATCTTACCCAACCCCTCAGCAGTTCTGCACACAGCTGATCACTCCCTCCTTGAAACTTTGTTTACTTAGCCTAAGCCACCACTCTCTCGATTCTCCAACTACCTCACTGGTCATTTCTCTGACCTCTAAGTACTGGAGTCATCTGGGGGCAGTCTTCCCTCCTCTCTTCTGTCTGCATTCACTCTCCAGGTGACCTCGCCCAGTCCCATGCTCCAAATACTATTTTGTGTCTAAGGATTTGTACATTTCTAGACTCAGCCTCTGTTGAACTCGAGTCATCCATAACTGCTTAACATCTTTACGTGGATAGCTGTCAGGTACCTCAAAGTTTTAATACATCAAAATGAACTCTACTTTCCTCCAGCACACACACACATAGCCCACACCTGCTCTTTCCTCAGTTTCCTACTGCTTAGCAAACAGGATTATTGCGGTTGCTGTGGCTCCTTGACATCTCCCTCACCACAGCTAGTTAGCAAGCACATCTTGTTAGTTTACCTCCAAAATGTATCCAGAGTCAGATCATTCCCACCACCTCCCCTGCCACCCTAGCCCCCACCCTGTCCCTTCTCCTGCAGGATGCAGCTCTTGGCTCCCTGCCTCCACCCTTATCCTCCTGGAACTTCATATCTTCCTTGTACCAGAAGTGATTCTCTTGAATATGAGTGAGTTATATCATATTTCTGTTAGAACTTCAGCTCCCTGTTTCACTCCGAGTTAAGGCCAGCAGCCTGCAAGGTCCTGTGTGAGTTGGCCTCTGATCTCATCTTCTGCTCTCCTGCCTTCCTCCAGTCCCCCTCACCCCCACAGTCTTTCCAGATTCCTTGCTATTCCTTGAACACATCCAACAAGTTCTTGACTCAGAACTTTAGTATCTGCTGTTTACTCTATCCAGAGGGCTCCCCTCCCCTGCATATTCACATGACTCACTTTTTTTAGGCCTCTGCTCAACTGTCACCTTACCAGTGAGTCCTTCCCTGCCCACCTGGGTTTCTTCTTGGGCATTGAGACTCCTGAGTTGCTAATAATTTGATCAGGCTTAGAAGAGATGATCTCTAAAGTTACTTTTACTTGAAAAAATCCTGATCATATGATTCTGGAAACTGTTCTAGCTTCTAAAAATGTAGATTTAGTCAGGAAGGGAGGAGAGAATCATTCCATTCAAGGAAGACCACTAAGAATCTAACCTGGTAGGTAATATATTTAGCTTATTTCAGTTTGGAATCCTGAGAAATTGGAATTCACAACTAGTCTCCTGAAATTCAGTGTCTGCTACTTCAACAAAATTTTAGGCACCACAATTCCTATAAATAAAAATATTTATATATGTATGACTAAACACAGAAAAGAATCTAAGCTCCAAGTGACTCTTTGTTCACCTATGTCTCCTCACTGCCCAGTGTATTGTCTGGTTAATACCAGGTGCTCTGTAAATATTAGCTGAATGAATGAATGAATGAAAGAAATGGATTTAAGTGCAATACAACTTTATAAATGAGAATGTAGAGTTGTTGTTGTTAATCATAACCTTCCTTACACATTTTAAGTACTGAGAGAAATAACTTGAATAATAAGAATTGATCTTAAATCGGCTAGTTTTGCCCTCACCTCCATGCTTCTACTTCCCTCTGCTTTCAGGTGCCAAAGAAGAGGATGAGAAGCCCTCAGCTCCAGCAGCTGAGCAGACAGCTGTTCAGGAGGTGGTTAATCAGGATGTGCTTCCAGAACTAGGAACCCCTCTCCCTGCCTGCGAGCTGCACACAGAAGAACCAGACAAGAAGCTAGAAGCAACAAATTGTGAGGTGAATGACTTGGAGGAAGAGGAGGAGGAGGAAGAGGAGGAAGACGATGGGTTGGAAGAAGAGGGGGAAGAAGAAGCTGACATGCCAAATGAAAGTTCTGTGAAAGAGCCAGAAATACGGTGTGATGAGAAGCTAGAAGATTTATTAGAAGAACCAAAAAACATTTCAAAAGAAACTCTTGAAGACTCTCCAGAGGTAACTCCTGTTATCAAAATTCCCAAAACTAAGGAAGAAGCCAATGGTGATGTATTTGAAACATTAATGTTTCCATGTCAGCATTGTGAAAGGAAGTTTACAACCAAACAGGGGCTGGAACGGCACATGCACATCCATATATCTACAGTCAACCATGCTTTCAAATGCAAGTACTGTGGGAAAGCATTCGGCACCCAAATTAACAGGCGGAGGCATGAGCGTCGCCATGAGGCAGGGTTAAAGCGAAAAGCCGGCCTAACACTACAGCCATCAGAGGACCCAGCTGATGGCAAAGAATCTGGAGACAGTGTCACTCCAAAAGATGACTCGCTTCCTCCCAATCTTGGGCAAGACTGTCTGATCTTGAGTTCAGAGAAAGCTTCCCAAGAAACAGTAAATTCTTCTGTTGTAGAAGAGAATGGAGAAGTTAAAGAGCTTCATCCATGCAAATACTGTAAGAAGGTTTTTGGCACTCATACTAATATGAGACGGCACCAGCGCAGGGTTCATGAACGTCACCTGATTCCCAAAGGTGTGCGGAGAAAAGGAGGCCTCCTGGAAGAGCCCCAGCCGCCCGCAGAGCGGGCCCAGCCCCCCCAGAATGTCTACGTTCCCAGCACTGAACCCGAGGAGGAAGGGGAGGCAGATGACGTGTACATCATGGACATTTCTAGCAATATCTCTGAGAACTTAAATTACTATATTGATGGTAAAATTCAAACCAGCAGCAGCACCAGTAACTGTGATGTGATTGAGATGGAGTCCAGTTCGGCTGACTTGTATGGTATAAACTGTCTGCTCACTCCAGTTACAGTGGAAATTACTCAGAATATAAAGACCACACAGGTCCCCATAGCAGATAATCTTCCTAAAGAGCCTTCCAGCAGCACAAACAGTGAGTCCAAGAGACGGAGAACTGCTAGTCCTCCTGTGTTACCCAGAATCAAAGCTGAAGCAGAGCCTGAGCCCATAGCACCCTCGTGCTCCTTGAGCCTGCCCCTTAGCATCTCCACCACGGAGGCGGTGTCTCTCCACAAAGAGAAAGGCGTGTTCTTGTCGTCAAAGCTCAAGCAGCTCCTTCAAACCCAGGATAAACTAACTCCTCCTGCAGGGATTTTGGCAGCTGAGATCACTAAGTTAGGTCCTGTCTGTGTGTCGGCTCCTGCGTCGATGCTGCCTGTGACCTCCAGTAGGTTTAAGCGGCGGACCAGCTCCCCTCCCAGCTCTCCACAGCACAGTCCTGCCCTTCGAGACTTCGGAAAGCAAAGCGATGGGAAAGTAGTGTGGACTGATGCAGTTCTGGGTTCCAAAAAGCCCAAGTTAGAAAGTCATAGCAACTCCTCCCCGGTGTGGAGTTTGTCTGGGAGAGACGAGAGGGAAACCGTGAGCCCACCATGCTTTGATGAATTCAAGGTATCCAAAGAGTGGGCCGCCAGTTCCACTTTTAGCCCTGTGTGCAACCAGCAGCCACTGGATTTATCCAGCGGTGTCAAACAGAAGACTGAGGGTTCCGGCAAGCCTCCGGTCCAGTGGGAGTCTGTGTTAGATCTCAGTGTGCATAAAAAGCCTTGTGGGGACTCAGAAAGCAAGGAATTCAAAGACAGCAACGTGGCACAGCCAGCCTGCGGTGCTGTCAAGAAGAAGAAGCCGACCACCTGCATGCTGCAGAAGGTCCTTCTCAATGAATACAATGGCATCGGCGTGCCCATCGAAAACACGGCAGATGTCACCAGGAGCCCGAGTCCTTGTAAATCCCTGGATCCCCAAGCAGATCCTGACCTTGGGCCTGACACGAGTTTATCTGCCCCTCCTGTGGAGCACCCACCTGATGTTTCTCCTTCATCTCCTGCCTGCCAGACATCCTCTCTTTCCTCGGGGCAGCTGCCTCCTCTCTTGATGCCAACACACCCCTCATCCCCTCCACCCTGTCCTCCTGTGCTAACTGTTGCCACACCACCTCCTCCACTCCTGCCTACCATACCTCTTCCAGCCCCCTCTTCCGGGGCGTCTCCTCTCCCGTGTCCCTCTCCACTCTCAAATGCTACTGCACAGTCCCCACTTCCGATTCTTTCTCCTACGGTGTCTCCCTCGCCTTCTCCCATTCCTTCCGTAGAGCCTCTCATGTCTGCTGCCTCTCCGGGGCCTCCAACACTCTCATCATCTTCTGCATCTTCATCTTCATTCTCTTCATCTTCCTCCTCTTCCCCCTCACCACCTCCTCTGTCAGCAGTGTCATCCGTTGTTTCTTCTGGGGATAATCTGGAAGCCTCCCTCCCCATGATATCTTTCAAACAGGAGGAATTAGAGAATGAAGATCTGAAACCCAGGGAAGAACCCCCGTCTGCAGTTGAACAGGATATTGTTCAGGAAACATTCAACAAAAACTTTGTCTGCAACGTGTGTGAATCACCTTTTCTTTCCATTAAAGATCTAACCAAACATTTATCTGTTCATGCTGAAGAATGGCCCTTCAAATGTGAATTTTGTGTGCAGCTTTTTAAGGCTAAAACTGACTTGTCAGAACATCGCTTTTTGCTTCATGGAGTTGGGAATATCTTTGTGTGTTCAGTTTGTAAAAAAGAATTTGCTTTTTTGTGCAATTTGCAGCAGCACCAGCGAGATCTGCACCCGGATAAGGTGTGCACACACCACGAGTTTGAGAGTGGCACCCTGAGGCCGCAGAACTTTACAGATCCCAGCAAGGCCCACGCAGAGCATATGCAGAGTTTGCCGGAAGATCCTTTAGAAACGTCGAAAGAGGAAGAGGAGTTAAATGATTCTTCTGAAGAGCTTTACACGACCATAAAAATAATGGCTTCTGGGATAAAGACGAAAGATCCAGATGTTCGATTGGGTCTCAATCAACATTACCCAAGCTTTAAACCGCCTCCATTTCAGTACCATCACCGAAACCCCATGGGTATCGGTGTGACGGCCACCAACTTCACTACACACAACATTCCACAGACGTTTAGCACTGCCATTCGCTGCACAAAGTGCGGCAAAGGTGTAGACAACATGCCCGAGTTACACAAGCATATCCTGGCCTGCGCTTCTGCCAGCGACAAGAAGAGGTACACCCCTAGGAAAAACCCAGTACCGCTGAAACAGACGGTGCAACCCAAAAACGGCGTGGTGGTTTTGGAGAACTCTGGGAAAAATGCCTTTAGACGAATGGGACAACCCAAAAGACTGAACTTTAGTGTCGAACTCAGCAAAATGTCACCAAATAAGCTCAAATTAAATGCATTGAAGAAAAAAAACCAGCTTGTTCAGAAAGCAATCCTGCAAAAAAACAAATCTGCCAAGCAGAAGGCGGACTTAAAAAATGCTTCAGAGTCCTCACACATCTGTCCGTATTGCCATCGGGAGTTCACGTACATAGGAAGCCTGAATAAGCATGCTGCTTTCAGCTGTCCCAAAAAACCGCTTTCTCCTCCCAAAAAAAAAGTTTCCCATTCGTCCAAAAAAGGTGGGCATGTGTCACCTGCAAGTAGTGACAGAAACAGCAGCAACCACCGCAGACGGACCGCAGATGCCGAGATTAAAATGCAAAACACGCAGGCTCCTTTGGGCAAGACTAGAGCTCGCAGCTCAGGCCCCGCACAGGTCCCACTGCCCTCCTCGTCCTTCAGGTCCAAGCAGAATGTCAAATTTGCAGCTTCGGGGAAGTCCAAGAAACCAACCTCCTCTTTAAGGAACTCGAGTCCAATCAGAATGGCCAAAATAACTCATGTTGAGGGGAAAAAGCCCAAAGCTGTGGCCAAGAATCATTCTGCTCAGCTCTCGAGCAAGACGGCCCGGAGCCTGCACGTGAGGGTACAGAAAAGCAAGGCCGTCTTACAAAGCAAATCCGCTCTGGCCGGTAAGAAAAGAACAGACCGGTTCAATGTAAAATCCAGAGAACGGAGTGGCGGGCCCATCACCCGAAGCCTCCAGCTGGCAGCTGCTGCCGACCTGGGTGAAAGCAGAAGGGAGGACAGCAGTGGCAAGCAGGAGCTGAAGGACTTCAGGTAAGCTGTCTCCCAGGGCCTGAGGAATTCAGCTCCGGAGCGTGGGGGCGGGAAAGACGGTTGGAAGCGAACAGTATACTTGCCCAATGGCTTTTTTTTCTTTTTCCTGTGTAATTTTGACATAAGCACTTAAAGGAAATGGGGTTGCTTAAGTTAGAGGCTGCTGCAGAGATGGATACCGCCTAGCTTTATCTCAGACCCAGGACTCACAAAAGGGGGCCATTTCTTTTAGGGCCAGTGTGAACTGAATTTGAAACTATGAAAAGCTCTCAAAAGGACCCTGTTATGAAAAGATGAAATTCTCTTAAACTTCCTCCCTATCTTGGGAAATATCTCAGTGTCACTTTTATTTTTTCTGGATTATAGGTGGTTTCTTCTGTTAAAATGGATCTCTGAGGCCATTAAAACCACATTGCAATCTCGTCAATGTTTCTGTGATTCAAGCATAGTTATAGTAACGGAGAATGCTTCCATGATTCATGCTTCTATAGTTTTCATTCAAAAAACTTGCCTCATGGCTTAAAACAAAATGCACCGTACTCATTTTAAAATGCCTTAAGTTCCCCACCCCTCCTCTCTCCAGCAAAGGGTGACACAGGCCGGATCCCAAAGGGGCAGCAGCCAGGAGTATGCTTAGAACTGCAGCAAGGCCAGGCTCCTTGGCTGGCCGGGCACATGCTGAAACCCAGGGCAAGTCAGGTGGCCGTCAGTGCCTTTGTTTCCCAGTAATGATGTAAGAGTTCATCTTAGATTTGAGGTGATTTTGCTGTTTTATTTGTGTCCTCCCTATATTCAGAAGTGTTCTTAGTGACAAAAACATAGGGTAATAGTTAAATTGGTTATGTTGACTTCTCAAACTTTCTAAATCATTTAAATAACCTTGGTTTGACGCACTTTCTTGGGATTCCTGCTGTTTCCTGAAAAATGCCTACGGGTCAAACTTGTGAAAAGCTCACCATCAGATAGGATTTCTGCAAAATACTTCAAAATCTTGTCCTTTCAGAGGGAGTTGCCGGACTCAAGGCTTTCTTGGTTATCCCTCTCAGTGTCTGAAAAGTCTTTGGTGTTTCAGACAAGCAGAATTAGAGCTCGCTGGGGAGTGGTCTGCCATTTGGGGAGGTCATGAGGATCCAAAGGTACTGTTACCAGTGCACAGCTGACGAGGTAGAATTCTGGGTGCCCGTGTGCCTTAAGTCATGGCTAAAGAATGATGTAGAGAAGAATTGTTAGCCAAGACTGATAGTTAAAAAGCTACTTCAGAAATGTACTAAACAATTAGTTACTATAGATCTTACTCAGCATCTGGCCTCTGGCCATGCCATATGCATAAGCACCTATTAGCCATTATAGTGGCCTGCTGTAGTGTTTTAACTGTACCTGTTTGTACTCTGTCTTTGTTCTGGAAGTTCCTCAACAATAGGAGGTTCTTGAACTCAAGTCCTTTCCAAAGATAAAGAGCCAGAATATGTCATCATTTTTACAGACTGTACTACAAAACATGCCCGGGTGGTTGATGCTTTAGAATGCACTATGCGTACCCGCCTTTGTCTCCAGTCTTGTCTGAGAGAATCATTTTGTACTGGATCCCATTTATACCATTCAAGGGTAAAGAAAAGTTCTCTGAGTCACTACATTTATCAAGTTCATTCAGTTAGCCTCTTACTCATCCAGTGCTTTTGGAAGAAGACCACAGGGGACCAAAGTGCCTACTAAAATTGTATCTCTGTTTCCTCCAGTTTATTGTGATTATTTTGCTTTGTTTCATTGGTTTCATTGTTTAACAGAGGGTTACAATGCTAGAGTGAAATTGGCCTAAAAGGAAGCACAGAGAATCAGATAAGAAAACTGTTGTTCTCACTGGTAGGTGGCAGCAGCAGCATCCCCGCTAGCTGACCCCCCTTGGTGTTTGTCACTGAACTGTGCTGTGGACACATCAGAAGGATGTGTTTTAAAAGGGGTCCATTTACAAGTGACCATAAATTTGTGAAGACAGGGCATCATATTCTGATTATCTGGGCACAAGAGTGGGCATTTCTTCAGGGGGTTTGTTCTCTTTTTAGTGCCTTTAGCCCATTTGGTATAAAACCAGGATTCCTGAACTCAGGCCTGAGATTATCATGAGGGCTTAGCAGGCCTCGTCCTTGGTACATACTTGTTGCGTTACACTGGTAAGGAGTTGTTTTAACTATAGTCGTCTTCCCTTTCAGTAGATTTCTACTTGTAAATTTTATTCAGGGATGATTTCATGGCACCTCGTCAGAAATACTCACTTCTCTCTGTTCTCAGTGATTTCGCTTTACTCACCCTGTTGTGTACTGAAGGACTTCCCACAGCACTGGCAGCAGCACCTCCTCCTGCGTGTTTCATCATAGCCATCTGTGATTAAGAGCCAGCCCCCAGCATTCACCACAGGTTATTACAGAAATAAAACGATGTTTCCTCCCATATCCATCTCTGCCACACCACTCCAGATAGGGCTGGGGCCTGGCCAGCGTGTGCCTATTGAGTAGGGCCCCCAAGTAGCTGCACACTTCCAGAATCAACCTGTTACTGTCCTAACATTTGTCATATGGATCATCTCACCTTCTCTTTAACATGGTCAATTCATGTAAGGTTGTGTTATGTTGTCATTTATCTTCAGTTTTCTTATTTTCTAGGAACTTCCTGTAGAAAAGCCCCCCACACAAAACAAACCTTAATTGACTAAATAAAGATAATGCATGCTCAACTTAGGATAAGCACTACGACAAAGGATGCGAAATCTACCAAGCTTGCAAGACCAGTTGAAGCTGTCTCACAAATCCGCAGGCTTCTTGTTGCCCTGGTTAGAGTCAGGCATCTGCTTCTTCGCTGGTGCCCAACACGTGCTGGGCACCTGGGTGATTGAGATGCCAGAGGTGCTGTAAGACGGGCTAGATGAACTGGCCCATCATCACAGGACTGATAACTCAGATGTGAGTGTGGCCCTGGTTTTGGCACATAGCAGAGGAAGGAGTGATTTGAACCTAACCTTGCAAAGCAAGTTCTCTTTTTTTATCAGTGGTTTATTGTAGATTTCAGGGATGACAATTCTAATGCACTTGTTTTAAGAAGTTTTGGTCACACACCAGCTCTTGATGCCTTTCTTTTAAGTTAATTACAGACAGAGGCATTTAGCTTCTCTCTCTGCCTGCTTTTTTTTTTTTTTTTAATCACAAGCTGATGGCCAGCATAATGGAGAGGAAACCGGATTGGATATGGACTCCTTTTTTATGCCTCTTCCAGTTTCATGTGTGTTTATCCAGATGGACATCCTCTCGAATAACTATGTGGCACTAATTTATAACTGTTATGTTATGGGAGGCTATGTAGCAATATACCGATGCCTAGGATGCATCTCAGGCCTAGAAAGGTGTATGTCTGCACTTAAGTAAAAAAGTAAAAATAAATTTACATACCAGGCTTACACTGCAGTCTCTAATAGAGATTTAAAAACTACAAATTGGCCTTTTCCTGGGTGTATCATTTCTCCATACATTATATATGCTTTCACCCTAATTAATGACTGAGTTGGTGGGAAATGGCTAGGTTATTCATGTGTTTTTTTCTTTTGTTTTCAACTTTAAAAGTAATCTACCTCTTAAAATGTGTAGTTTAATACTTGTTTGGTGAATTTGTGCCATTTTAATCCTTTCACTATCATTCCCATTTTGTTACATTTCTGTTCTGGGGACTTTTGTGTTGAAATATTGTATAAAGCATTTGTAGCAGTTTAAAAATAAAATATTTAAAATTATTTAAATTGTTTTGGATGCTTCAATTGTATTGTGATTTGCCTTTTACATTTGTGTTTGAGTTGTTAATCTGGAGAGTGTTCTTGTACTGGAGTTTGCTGTTAGTTATTTTACTGTTTCTTGTTGGAGAGTTATGATATAAAAGACTATTTTAATGAAAACATTAAAATTTACAATTTGACATACAAAAGGGATTGTCTGTTGATTTGAACCAATGTAGCCTTTTAAGAGAGAAAGAGGCTAATTGTAGACAGACCGGCTAAGAGTGCTGTTTGCTGTTTATCCCTTCCAGGATGAAACATCATTTGAGCTTGTCAGATGTACAAAAGTTTTTTATGCTGTTGCTAGCAAGCACTTAATAACTAGGGTAACGTTAAATGATACATTTTATATCATTGTAACCAATAAAAACTTTCTAAAAGCTTGTGAAAGGACTGCATTTTGTACATGGTTGGGAGCAGTGAAGGGCAGAAATGAAGAGGCCGTAGGAAAAGCGTTGGAAGCCGCACACTGTGCTGTGTGCTGTGCAGGGTCCGCCCAGAGGACCTCCTCACGTGTTCCTGTTCGGCATTGACTATTTGTTATATCACATCCTTATCTGCTGTTGAGCGGGTAGCCATGAAGTCGGTCAGTGTGCTCTGAGGGACCTCAAGAGTGAAATAAAGCATTTCACAGGTGGGGTCTCTACTTCCTCGGTGCTTGCTAACGGTTTACTCTGGTTTGGGGATTTTTATTGTTAAGAATCCCCAAAGAATGAAACAAAGAAGTTGGAACATCTGTATTGAGTTTATATGGGATTGCTGTTTTTCTTGAGATTGAATGTTTGCAGTTTCATAAAGTCCCACGATAGCACTGTGGTTCTCATGCTTTACATCAGTATGTGTCATTCCAAAGTCTTAGGGAAAGGCGGTAAAGTGAAGGAGTGATCAGTGTCTCCTGGCCAAATGTCCTCTGGTTCATGATTCACCTTCCCCACCCCCGGAGACCCAGCGGGAGGGGGAGGGCGGTTTCACAGGAGGAAGCGGGGAGGCGCTGGGTTGGAGGAGTTCGGACTGGCTTTCTGTGTTTGCTGTTTAATGGCCCTACACAGAGGGCTGAGCACACACAGCTCCCTGCAGACTGCACATTGTGGGAGGAGAGGGCGCTCTTTGTGGAGGAAGTGGGTTCCATCTTGGCCGTCTGCTCGCCATTCCTCTCCCTCCATGCCGGCAGCCAGCAGGCATCGCACATACACTCGCCTTCCAGCCTCCTATGGCCTGCTTCGGTGGCTCAGCCTTGGGCAAGGTATTTCTGGATCTTAGTTCCCAGTCTCTTCCAAGTAGGGAATGGCTAGGTGGTCTCTGCGTTTTCCTTTGTCCTCTTACTGGGTGTGGAGGCTGAGACTTTTGCGGGACTGGGAGTTTGCCTACAAGATGCTGGGCCTTAAAGTGCCGTGGGATATTTTTTTAAAAAAGAAACTAGGTCCAGAATGGTGGGAATGATGAGTTCCATATTACTGTTAAATTCTTCCTAGACAAAAACAACAAGGTCAAAAAAATATCGTTGGAACAAAACTTGAAGTTTGAGTGGGAGAGACGTAGAGGGAAAATGTGCGACTGCTCATTGGTGGACCAGGTCAGGCTCTGTGCCCCAGTCTCCCGTTTGGAGACCCCCCGGGCCTCGTCCCGACCTCCAGCCGCTCTGGTTCACTGGAGTTCCTCGCCTGCAAGTGGTGACAAGCTTCTGGGAACCTGACAGCTATCCCGTGTGCAAGGCACTGCCCTAAGCATTTTCAGACACTTGACAACAGCACCCGGAGGTTGGTGTCATTTACAGATGGGGAATCAGACTTGGGGGAGTTGAAAGCGCCAACCTGGGATTTGAACTGCCTCCGACCTGCACCATCCTGTCTATTATTTTTACAGCATATTATTATTATTTTTTTTAAGTTTCATTTCCTCTAGTTGTATAAAGCTCTTTATAAAGGCTTCCCCTGCATTTGTGAACAAGTAGAGTCACCCCTTTGTGAGCAAGGAAGTCTTCCTGCTGCAGCAAGACCGTCAGTAGGAGCAGCTCCTGGAGCACCGGGTCTGGTTTCACTCTGAACCAGAGTGTGCTCCTGCCCACGTCACGGCCGCTCCAGTCCCGCTGACTTTCTAGATCAGCGGGGTCGAAACGACCCTTTCACAGGGGTCGCCTAAGACCATCAGAAAACACATATATAATTACATATTGTTTTTGTGATTAATCACTATGCTTTAATTATGTTCAATTTGTGACAATGAAATTGGGGGTCACCACAACATGAGGAACTGTATTAAAGGGTTGTGGCATTAGGAAGGTTGAGAACCACTGTTCTAGATTGATCTGATTAGTCAACAGAAATCGCCTAAGGAAAATCAAGGTCGCTATCATAATGTCCTCTGGTCTTGAAAGTGGTTCTAAGGAAGGGTCTGGGGATCCTGGGAAGCGTCCTCGGTTGTCACTTGAGAACTTTGACCTGTTGGGCATTAGCCCAAAAAGAAAGTTGATCGGGACTTGCCTTCCCCGCTTAGCAAGTACTAGTATGTATTCCGTGCAGATCAAAGGGTTAAAATTCTGCCGGTAGTAAGTTGTTTTTAAAGTGTAGGATTACAGCCAAGAGAGTGTGTGTAGATTTTATTTACCTTCTAGATTATGAATTAGAAAAGCCATCACGACTGCATTAAATTGCTTGCAGTTCTGTTGTGAGCCATTAAAGGGGCTTGGAAATACTTTTATTAGAGTTAACTTGCTGAACTACTGGGGTAATGGGATTTGTACGTGCTTCTGTTTTCTGCCTCACTTATACCAGCTGGATTCCTTTTCAACTATCTCTTACAGAAAGTGGCCCCAAATCCAGGCAGGTGTCCCAAAGAACAGATTTTTAGGGAAGATTTTTAGTGCCTAAATGTGCCTTCCCAAGTCCAGTTTATAAACCACAGCGACAAGCCAGACAGAACCCACGATTCTGAACATTCCTTGTTAGTTGCTACCTGAGTTACCCAGTTGGGGTGAGAACTTGGGTGTCACGTTAGCAATGACAGAAAGCTACAGGAGGATTTTAAAGTCCAGGTTTCTATTCTGAACATATTCCTAAAAATATTCCTATAGTAGTGTTTAGACAGGTGCAGTCTGGAATTCTGCTTAGGTAACTACTGAGTGTTAGCATTAAATCTGAGTGTATCCCTACCTGGTTTGGCTTGGTGGATAGAGCATCAATCTGCGGACAAGGGTCCCGGGTTCAATTCCGGTCAAGGGCACATGCCCAGGTTGTGAGCTCGATCCCCAGTAGGGGGCGGGCAGAAGGCAGCCAGTCAATGATTCTCTGATGTTTCTATCTCTATCTCCCTTCCTCTCTGAAATCAATAAAAATATTTATTTAAAAAATCTTAAGTATAAGTTTTCAGTAGGAATCTTTAAAGGCCTGGAGTTTGTTGCACAGGTAAGTTAATAACAATAGGGAATTTAGGCCTTAGGATACAGTTGTGGCAATTTTCATTTTTTACCTTAAAAAAAAAAAAAATTTCAGCCCTAGCCGGTTTGGCTCAGTGGATAGAAGAGCATCCGCCCATGGACTGAATGGTCCTGGGTTTGATTCTGGTCGGGGGCACGTACCTCAGTTGCAGGCTCAGTCCCCAGTAGGGCACATGTGGGAGGCAACCAGTTGATGTGTCTCACATCAATGTTTATCTCTGTCCCTACTTCCTTCCACTCCCTCTAAAAAAAAAAAAAAAAAGAAAGAGAAAAATATCCTTGGGGGAGGATTAACAAAAAGTAAAAATGGAATTTCAATTTTAAATCATTGCATTTGTTTTAGTATTTAATAATTGCCAAAATGATAGTTTAATATTCTTATTGGAATTAGGTTATTTAAAACTCACATGGATTCAATTTTTCTTGCAGTAACATTCTCTTCTCACTTGGTTTTTTATAATCACATCCAACCCTTGCCAACCCAGCTTGAGTTTAGGAACATTTTTGGATGGCTGTTCCCAAGCTGTAACTGGACTCGTGAAACCAGGCACATTCTCCAGTAGTGACTCAGCCGGTCAGCCATTCAGAAAGCATCTGTAATGGCCAGCTGGACTTCCAAAGGTGTGGGCTATAGATCTGTGGACCCTGTCCTGTGTCCCTGGGCTTGCAGAGGCCCCTGGACATGGCCACTGTTCTGAGGTCTCTGCCTGGCGTTCTCAGCATTTACGGAGAAATGGAGCCTGGGCAGCAGCCTCACTGGCATGTCCCACAGCTCCAAGTGAGAGAGAGCCCACGCCCAGCCGTCTGATTCCAGAGCCCTGTTCTTTTTTAAAATATATTTTTATTGATTTCAGAGAGGAAGGAAGTAGAGAGAGAAACATCACTGATGAGAGAGAATCACTGATTGGCTGCCTCCCATATGCCCCCCCACTGGGGACTGAGCCCGCAACCGGGGCATGTGCCCTGACCGGGAATTGAACTGTGACCTACTAGTTCATAGGTCGACGCTCAACCCCTGAGCCCTGCTGGCCAGGCTCCAGAGCCCTGTCCTTAAAGGCATTGTGAAACCTCTGAACTCACTGTGTCCCCTAAATGTCTCAGGCTGACGTCATCGCCCAAAGAGGGGTTTTGCTGCCGAGAGGTTGTGTAGCGTATAGTCCATAGCTTCAGGGTGGCAGCCATGATCACACAGAATGGAATTCAAAGTCCAGAGTTTGCTGCAGGCCGCTCGCCTCCCGTGAAAGAGACGGTGTGGTGCAGGCCGGCACTGGCCTGGTTGGGAGGTTTCGCCAAGGTTTCATCACAGGCAGTGAAATGTAGGTGAGGGCACTCGCTCTGCCCCAGAGCTGCTTGCTCAGCTGGCACCTCCTTCAAGAAGCCTTCCCTGACCATCCACTCTGAAATAAGTGCTGTCCCTCTCCACGTGTTCTTGGAGACCCTCACGTCTTCCACATGTTCTGTTCAATCTGTTACATTGGTTTACTGAACGCTTCTCCCAGGATGGAGACGCTGCCTGTTGCATGTACCACAGTGCCTGGCATGTAGTAGCCGCTCAATAAATATTTGTTAATTGAATCAAGTGTCTGCATCCTGGCTTCATCACTTACTAGCTCTGTAACCTTGGGCAAGTCATGCCAACTCTCTGAGCCCCAGTCCTCCTTTCTGTAAAATGGTGGTGATCAGTCCAGCCACAAAGGATGCTTGTGAAGACACAGACAAGCCCACGAGGACCACAGATGCCGCTTGCACTAGTAAGTGCTTCGTAAACGCCAGCCGCTGTTGTGGCTGTTGATGCTGAAAGATGTCCTGTTGGATCTGTTTAAAGCTGATCGAGCGTTGTGGCTCCCTAAGCGCTGACTTGCCATGTATGTGATTTCATGACCGCAAGGCTGCCATAGCCGGGATGTCCCCCATCCTCTCCTGCCAGTGCCCACAGCGGGCCCTCAA